TGGTTAAAAAAAGTTTTTATGTGATAAACGTTTATAGACTTACTTCGTCAGTTGTGGCCTATCCGACATGAGCAGAATGTCATACATGTAAATTTGGACATAACAATACAATACACAAAGACAAACAAACACTTTAAAATTTTAAAAAGTGAGAAGCTACATGTTATGTAGAAGCCGGAGACAGAATGGCTCCCGGTCTGGCGGAAATATTGAGATGATATTTGTCACATGTCTATAATATCCTTTGTCTATATATCGTTACCCAAGTTCAAAACGGAAACAATTTAAAATAACTACTTTTGAGAAAATGGCTAATAACTAAAATCGCTCAGCTACGACCACGTTTTATTGAGATAACCAATTATTTGAAGACTAGTATTTTTTGCAATTCTAATGTGGTTTTAGTAGATGGTTACATCATAAGTGTGTTTTTTATTTCCTTTCTACCTAATTAAAAGAAAAAAAAACAAATCTTTTAAATTTCATGTTAGTTCTGTTTTGAAATAAAAAATGGAAAAAAATTGATGTTGTTTCTAAACTAGGAAATAAAAAATAGTATAACTTAAACATTTTATTCCAATTTTAAACATAATTAAAATTAAATACTAGATATCTTTCACTTTTTCACACTCGTCACAATCACTATCATTATTTGGTGGAATATTTTTTTTGTGTTTTTTTGTATTTTCCTGCTCCAACAAATTTCTGTAGAAATCCCAGTGTACCTTAGGAATAGCTTTGAGCTCACAAAGTTCTAGTAATCCTTTCTTAAGGTTAGATGGAATAAGAATAGGTCCGGTATAAAGTTGAGATAAACTAGGTACTGATTTATTTCTTGGAGACTTAAATTTTATATTGATTGATTTGTATTCAGCATCAGAATAAGATGTCTTGTAAAAAAGAATATAAGGGTTATTTTTTTTGACCATAACAATTTTAATGTCAGTCCACAGAACTTTTTCTAGTTGTTCGTTTATATTATAATTGTTTCCCAAAGAGGATGTCAGTTTTTTTAGGTCCAGAAATTCCTCAGTCGTCATGTCTTTAATTTTATAAGGATGGCCGGTCTTTTTGGCTAATTCTATTATAGTACTCCATTGAGCAGGCACATAAATCGGGCTGGCCTTAAGCTTTCTTTTTTTCTCCCTTTCTATTAAGGAATGCATATTGTCCCCTTCGTTTTGGGTATGCCCAGCTATTAAAAATTTGTGTGTAATGGATTCAATTTTTGTCATAGACTGCACACAGTACATGTACATTGCAATAATAAATTTATTTTTATTTTGCCCACTGCAATTATCACTGTAAAAAGTAATATCTTTTACCTGGTTCTCATTTTGCTCTTTTAGAAAATAATATACACAACTTCCTATTTCATTTGCACCTCGTTGAGCAATGGTCTGGTTCCAAAAATAGCAGAAACCCTTTTTTTGTCCAATGTCATACACGGTGAGGTTATAACAAGATAAACGACTTTTATAAAAAAAATGTGAAACCTCTCCACAAGGTACACTTAATACAGACTGTAAGTCATAAACCGCAACTATTTGATCAGTCGAGGAAACAGCTTTTGACACATCTTCAGCTTTTTCTTTTCTACTTGCCTCTTTTTCTAATTGATGATTTTCGTAGTTCATTTTTAAATTTTCTTTCTCTTCTCCCGTAGCGGTATTAAAGCTATGACATAGGGCACATTGGTCCTTTTTTGGTTGAAAAAAACTTATATTGAATTCTGTAGAAAAAATTGTGGAGTACATGTTATACTTTCCATAAGGTTTTTGTAGTATTTCACATTGTTCTTTATATAATCTGTACATAGTGGACAGGTTAAGACTTCCATCGATATATTTTTTGGCAGTTCTTGAACGACAGAAATGTGATTCTATTAAGGGAAATGAGTTTATGTGTTCACGTATGTCGGCTTTTATCTGTGGATTAATAGCCCTTCCCATGTGTCCATGTTTGCCACGTTTATCCTTTTCCAGAAATCCATCCTGAGATTTTTTTTTCGTAACGGTAAAAATCATTTTTGAACTAACGTTTAGTGTACCCATAAAAAATGTCTTACAAACTACGATTTTATTTCCATTGATAGAAAATGTATAAACGAAATTGTATGACCTCAGACATGTGCCTTAAAATAAACTCTCTTTGGTCATTAATATTGCCCATTTTCCAAAAACTGTTGTGTATTTCTTGACGTATTTCGTTATTAATTTTTTCGCTGCATTTGAATCTGCATTTGGGCCCACAAGCTGATTGAACACTTCTTGCTGCAATTATTTTACCTTTTTTTGTTGTGAAACTTTTTCCTAGATTTCTTTTTTTCTTTAACACATTCTTCTCCCAATTGTCTGGATTTCTAGATCTTTTTTTTGTGAGAATTTTCTCACTCAGTTCAGTTTCTTCAACCATTTCTTCTGTTTCAGCAACTTTTTCGTGATAGTTCTCAGCTTCATTGTCACTAGAACTGGTATTTGCTCCATAAGTGTCGGGTACAATATAATCTTTATCTTTGCTTTCATCACCAACACTAGAATTTATTTCCTCATCGTCATTTTCTCTCTAAAATAATAATAAAAAAGCTAAATTATACTAAAATATTCAATTAATTTTTTTTTGCTTACCGGGTAGAAAGTTGATAAGTTTAAATAGGTTTTCTCTTGGCTTTTGTCAGCAGAGTCTTCATTAATATTTTCTTCAAAAATTGCAGCTGGTTCCTGAGTGTTTATCAACAAATCAAGCGCATTTTCATTACTATCTAATTCCACAGTAACACTACCATTTATCTCTTTAATAATATTGCAATTTTGTACCTAAAAAAAGTTAATGTAATAATGAATATGTTTTTTAACGCTTTTTAGAACAAATTCCTTACTTGGTCGTGTACAAATATTTCTCTCGATGGAAATTCAGGTATTGCAAGGAGAACGGATGGATAGCCACTGCTATTATTACTTTGGTCATTATATCCAACATTACCATCAACGTTAATTTCTACTACTATATTATCCGTATTAAGGTTTTTAGTAGTACCCTAAAACAATTTGAAAAACTTTTTATGTACCTATTATCAAAACAGAATGCTACTAGTTTACTACAGCTAACCGGCATACCTCTTTCTGAAAAGTTACTTCATCCACTATTTGGTTTAATGGTTCATTTTCATCACTACTATTTAGTTCGCCAACTGCCAATAATGCCATTCTTTTACCTCTACCTATAGGCAACATTGTAATACTTATAAAACTTACGAAAATACACAAAATAACGGAACTAATATTGTTCTAAATAATTAAAAACATAAAGGTTAACAATTACTTTCAAACTGACATAACCTAAAAGAAACGTGACACAGGCTGGTTCAAAACTGAAATAATTTAACTTATTTCCTAACAGATGTCAGACAGCGCGTGACATTCAGTTCAAAACAGAAACAACTACGTTATTTCTGTTTTGAACCGACATTGTTAAAAAAGATTATAAAATCAAAAAGGAAATAGACACTTTTTAAGGAATGCATATGAATGTATGATTTATTTCTCTTTTGAAATAGGTAGATTATCATCCTAGCATAAATTTTACGGAAATAACTCATTTCAACAAAATTTTGAGTTGTTTCTGTTTTGAACTGGGGTAGCGATATAGTCTATATATCCTTTGATGTATGATTTTTAGAAATAACTTTAAAATGTGGCTTATTAAGCTGATAGACCGGATATCCTTGCAGGGTACTGATTTTGTTTTCTTTCGTAGAGCAATAAACGTTATTTCAGCCATGATCTTGGTATTATTCCTTAAATATCTATCTATCTATAGCCCAAAATCTATTCATGTGTTTGAATATAGGTCTCTCCCATTTGTCTCCATTTGTCTCTGTCTTCTGTTTGTCTTTTCCAGATTGGACCTGAGCTTTGCTCAATGTCATCTTTCCATCTCATTTGCGGTCGACCTCTTGACCTTTTTGCAGTATATGGTCTTCTATGGTCCTATATATTCCTTAAATATATGTACTTAAATATTTTTATTAATCGTTGAGTACCGTCGATGTAAAAAGCTTTATCTATGCATTATGCACTATGCATATGCATTGTCAGGTCCAGCAGCTTTGCCATCTTTTATTAATGATATTGATTGTTCCAGTTTATCTGATATGATTTATAAGTGGTCATTCTATAATAAAGACGAAGCTTGTTCGGATCTAATATCATCAAAGAGTTCTTGTATGTATTTGGTCTATATAAATATTGCTTGATTTTTATCTCTAATGATGTTCTCCTGTTGATCTTGCAGTTTTCAAGCTGAGTTGGATTTTTGAAGACCAGCTGCTTATTTTACTGTTTTGTGCATACTAAGTGTATCGTGTTTTTGTTCCAACAACTCTATCTCTTCACACTGTGTTTTTAATCAATTTGCTATGATGTCTTATATTTTGATTCTTATTTGTCTCTGAATATTTTTGTACATTCTTTTCGTATTCTTTGATTTTCTTCTTGTCTCCGTGAGTTTCAGTATATTGTCATTTATCCAACTTTTCCTCTTCTCTTTATTTTCTATTAGATGTTCTTCTCTGTTCTTGTTAAAGGTTTCACATATGCTCTGGGGTGATTCTTCTATATATTTGTCTTATGTTACTTAGATTTTCTGAAAGAATCCGTGCGACTGTCTTCTTTGTTTCCTTATCTTTTATTATTCTTATATCCCATTTTTGTTACTATTCTTTTTTTGTAACCTTTTTAATTCTAAACCTTAATATACCAATAACCTATACTTACCAATAAAGTCATTAAATTATCCGTCACGCTCATAAAAACTTTTGGAATATCGTTTCTTAATCTATAGTTAAAGTTTAACTATTTTTTCATGAAAAATTTATCTAAGCAGTATCACGAATTCATGACCAACCTTCAAGGTTTTAAAACCATAAAAATTTACCTAGCCAAGTTTAGTTATATAAGGAAATTGCAGTTTAATGTAGATACATTTATTGCTAAAAAACTATGCTGTTGATGCAGGTAAGAAAAACTATGAAGTTAAACACCAAATATATTTTTTTTTCGGCTTACATTTATATATTGAAAAAATTATGTACTTTTTTAAACTACTTAATATTGTTAATGCTCCTCTTTTGATATTCAGAATTATCAAGGTTATCTTGATATCAGCTCCTTTGTGGTGTAGCGAAACTATTTTCTCAAATTTTGCACCTTTTCGGATCCTACGGATTAGGTTTTATGACTTTTTCCGGCTTAACCGCCCATCTTTTCCGGGGCCGTCCCATGCAGCGCCGTTCTCATGAGTTGTTTTATTACTATGTACTTTTGATATGCTGTCTCCACTCAATCTATCGTAGATTCATGGTAGATTTTTGCTTTTATTGAATATATGTCAATTATTTGCCTAATCTCACTGTTACTTATCTAATCTAATTTTGTACATCCCTTAACGCTTCTTAGAACTTTCTTATTGTACATGTCGAGAAGTTCAGAATATCGCACATTCATTTTAGAGCCGATCTTTATTTTTATTTTCACTTCTACTAGAGTTTTACCAATATATATAGTCCCAAGATTCCTAAGAGGAACATAGTGCTTCCACAAAGTGTCTCCAGCGAACTCTATTTTTGGCTAGTGCTTTGATTTCAAGCCAGGATTTTCCCATTTTTCTCCCTTCGTCCAGTACTGTCCTTCTCCAAGTTCCTTTAGGTCTGCCTACTTTCCGTCGGCCTTGGGGATTCCAATCCAGCGCTGTCCTGGCAATGTCATTTGGCGGTCTACGGAGTGTGTGACCCAGCTATCTCCATTTTTCTTCGCCTTATTTGCTTTATGACATTTTCTTGGTTGCTTTGGTTCCATAAATTTTCATTGGAGATTCGGTTAGGCCAAAATATACGAAGGATTTTTCGTAACGCTCTATTGATGAAAACTTGTAATTGGTGTACCATGGGTGCTGATATCTTCCACGTTTCGCAGCCATACAGTAATACAGCTTTTACATTTGTGTTAAAGATTTTTAATTTCGTTTTAGTTGGGTAAATCCTGGATTTCCATATGTTGTTAAGCATGTTGTAGGCGTTGCGAGCCTTATTTATTCTTTCATGTACATCACGCTCTGTACCCCCATTACAGTCAATTATGCTGCCCAGATAAACAAATTTCGCTACTCTCTCAATTTTCTGGTCGTTGATCATAATAGGTTGGTTGTTTCTGGTACCAAATCGCATTTCTTTGGTTTTGTTGATGTTTATTTCTAGACCAACCTTCTTTGATTCTTCTTGTACTTTGTTTACTTGGAGTTGCATGTCCTGTTTTGTATGGGGTAGGAGGCATATATCATCAGCGTAATCTAGGTCTTCCAGTCTATTTGTTAATCCCCAGTAAATTCCTCTATTAGAGTTTACCTTTGTTAGTACGGAGTCCAGTACAATGTTAAATAGTATGGGGAATAAAACACAGCCCTGCTTTACTCCGTTTAGCATAGCTATTGGGTCAGATGTTATGCCGTTGTGTAGGATTTTGCTTTCTGTGTCACTGTAGAGTTCTTTGACGAGATTTACTATTTTTTCTGGTATTTCTATTTCCTGCAGTGCTTTCCATATGGCCGTATGTGTGAGCCTGTCAAAAGCTCTCTTGAAGTCCACAAAGCACACAAAGAGAGGAGAGTTGAATTCCTGAGCGTTTTACCAAAGCAGTTCCATATTACTAACAAGGTTTTAGTATCTTGTCATCTATAAACTATGGCGCCGTGGTTATTTACTCTGAATCCTGAGTCACCTCGATTCAACTTCCCAACAAATTTAGGTACATTTACTCTCGTTGCAAGAATTTCTATTTCTGGATAAGATAGAGTATCAAGTAGTCTAATAAGTAAAAAAACTCTGTTTTTTTTAACAAGCGAGTCTTCTACAGCTGGCGCCGCTTCTCGCATCCTAATTTCCAGCGTTTTCTATCGAAGCAATCTTCAGTTGTTGGATCTCTGGCGGTCATTGCATCGTCGACATCGTCTCTCCAGGATCGTCTTGGTCTACCTCGTTTTCTTCTAGTTGGCGGAGTCCATTCTTCTATTTTTTTTGGCCATCTATTTTCCGGCATTTTCTGAAGATGTTCATACCAGTTAAGTCTTTTGGCTTCGATTGTGTCTATTATGTCTAGATCGATTTCCATTTCTCTCCGAATATCTTCGTTTCTCACCCTATCAAGTCTAGTGAGCTGGCAACATCGTCTCCAGTAGTTCATTTCCATGGCCTTAATTTTTGATTTGTTTCTTTGGTTTATTTCCCAGAGTTCGGCGCCATACAGTCCAATACTTTCTATTATTGTTTTATAAATTCTTCTTTTATTTTCTTTTGTTATTTTTTTATTCCATAATAGTCCGTGTAGCTGTCTGGTGGCTGATCTTGCTTGGCCAATCCTGGAATGTATTTCTTCGCTACTTCCTGCTTTTGATGTTATTTGGACTCCCAAGTACTTAAAATTGTCTGTTGGTTTTATAGTTCCCATTTCGATTTGTAGGCTTTCTGGTTTTCTCCTACAACTAAGTACTCAGTTTTTTGTATATTAATTGTGAGGCCCCATTTGGTGTACTCATCTTCCAGTTTTCTAAGCATGTAGCTTATATCACTCTCGTCTTCAGCTAGAATGGCTTGGTCGTCAGCGAAATGTATCGTGTACAATCTATCATCTCCGATTGGGATGCCCATATTGCAGCACTTTCTTCTCCACAGTGAGAGTGCCTCATTTAGATATATTTTGAAGAGTGTAGGTGCTATGCAGAAGCCTTGCTTTAGGCCCTTACTAATAGGAATTTCTCTAGTTAATCTATTTCCAGTTTTAATGTTTGCCGTCATATTTTTGTAGAGTTGTTGTACTGCTTGTATATTTTTTTTGCTTATTCCTTGTTTTTCCATTGCTACCCAAAGCATTGAAAGTGGTACACTATCGTATGCCTTTGTCAGATCTATAAAGACTATATGAGTTGAAAGGTTGTGGGCTAATCTTTTCTCGATAACTTGCTTTAGAGAGAATATACTGTCCATGCAGGATCTGCCTGCACGAAAGCCATTCTGTTCTTCTACATCTGTCATCTCTTTTTCAATTTTATTTTTTATTATTTTTCCATACAGTCTTGAGAGTGAATTTATGACACTTAGCCCCCTATAGTTTGAACAATTCTTTCTATCTCCTTTTTTGTATATGTTGTTAATATGTGCTTTTGTCCACTCCGGTGGTAAGTCGTGTCCATTATAGAATAAGGTGAAGACATACGCCAGTAATTCCCGTAATACTTGTGGGCTATGTTTTAATAATTCATTTGGTATACCTTGTGGTCCGCATGACTTCCCATTTTTTAGAGTTCGTATTGCATTCTCGATTTCCTGTACTGTTATTTCGTCGTCTTCACTAAATTCCAGTTCATATGTTGTTGTATTGATGTTCGTGAATTGAGGTCTTGTTTCAGTCAAAAGTTGTGAGTAGTGTTCGATCCAAGATTTGTCTTCTATTAAAAACTCTGTCAAAAGACAATAATAGATCAGTTCCGCTTATAGTACAAACTAATTTTGTCACTACTCTTTCTGCCAATAACAAACTAGTATCTTACCAGTTTTCCTTTCCCTAGAATATAACACAATTGTATACATATCCTCTTACAGAGTCGCTTTGTGCCCATATATTTATTCTCCGTTTGATGGGTTTTATGGATAGGATCTGTTTTAGGGAAGACTTTGGGATACTCGATTGTATACCATGATTAGTGCGACACCCAATACAATCATAATTTCATGTTCATCGGTAGGAATTCTTTTTTCTTGGTGTCGTTTCTAAATTTCCCTAAACGTAAGTTCGTGCAATGTTTAATATCTCGAGTGAGGCTTCTGGGAAAAACTTTAAGAAATAGTTCTATTTCGGTCATGATATGAGGAAGACTTCAATCGACTTTTTTTCTGATAAAATCAAAAAACGTGGTAAAAAAAGTTTCATCGTTATAAAACTAAATAACTAGTTGGTACGTACCTTAACCTTCTTAATTATTTTTGTCACTACTGCTTTCTTTTTCACTATCATCTGATTATCTTTATCCATTATTGCTCTCAGAACCTGAATTTATTTTGTGACGCTCTCATTTTACGTCTTTTTGCATCCTGATAGATTGTAGCTTTCATCATCAGAGTCACTAGTCTCAAAAGGATCGATTTTTTTTTGTATCGCTGGCAAAAATAGCTGTTACCTACTCCTCTAGCTCTTTCTGCGTCAAAATTTTCTACTCATTTTGAACAAAACAACACTGTTGGGACATATATAACCCACCATAAATGTCTGTTGGGACACATTTCACCAATAAAACATAATACTAGTTTTATTGAATATATTGACCGTTTTTGTAGGTAACTCCACTCACAAAAACAAATTAGCAATAACAGTACGAGCGCACAACTTTCCCTGTAGTAATCACCAACAAAACTACATAAACACATATAAACACATTCCACAGATCAACATCACCGGAAAATACAGCGCGAAAACGGTTCCGGAAAAACGGAAAATTAATTTTTTTAAATTGTTTCTTAAAAAGTCAGCTTTTTGCCAATATTTCTAACCTCTGTGCAGTAAATGCACGTGATCTTTCACTTTTTGCGAAATTCAGACATGGTATTACCTGCTCGCACTCCGCTATTGTTCTATAAATGATACTGCGTGAAATAATTTCATTCTGGAATATTAGATAGATCTCAGCTTTGGCTACAGGTTTATATTTTTAACTTGTAATTGTAGATCGCAACTATTTATCTTTCCCATGAGTTCTTGCTTTGTTCAAAGTATTTTAAATGGGTATGCAAATTATTTTTATGTTATTTATTTTTAGGGAAAAATGAAATTGGCTCCATTTTATATTTTGGTTAGTTTGCTGTCCTTATCATCGGCAGTAGTTCGATATGATAATTATACATTTTATAAATTATCTCCTAAATCTTCTGACGAACTTAAAGTTCTTCAAAACTTACAACGGTCTAATAAGTATAAATTGGATTTCTGGAGGGATCCAAACAGAGTAGGAATACCTATTAATGTACTGGTTTCGCCAGAAGACAAATATAACTTCGAGAATGTCATTAGTAAAAGTAATGTAGAGTTTCAAGTTCTAGATAGCAATATTCAAGAACAAATAGATAAAGAATCTAGAGTCGGTAGACTTCGGAATATAAAGCAAGGTAATTTGACATGGGACAGATACTATGATTTGGAACATGTAAGTAAACATTATTTTACTAATCACAATGTATAAGAGTATTATTAAAATTACTATAAACGGTCACTTAACCCGGCAATCTTTCTGATAAGTTTCTTTTTTTACACGTGCCAGATTAGAATCATCCGACGTTGGCTATCACCATTACAAAGGCTTTGATGGTCGGTGTTATGCCACATAGATAAATTATGTTGCAATGACTGATATATCAGTCCATTAAAGAATGATTTTTAACTAAGAAATCTATTTTCTTCCTACGCATCTACGGTTTTCTATTTTGCCTTTATGGATCAGTTGTAGTATTATATATCGATTTCTCCTTACTATATGTCCCAGATAAACATTTTCTGGTGTTAAATAGTCTTTAGCCATTTTTTATCTTTGTTGACCCTCCTTTTCTTCTTCTTCAAGTGCCCTGTCCGTTGCGAACGTTGGCTATTAATATGGCAATTCTGATCATGTTTGCGGCGCTTCTGAATAGTTCGACCGATATGAGCCCAAATCACTTCCGCAGATTTTATAGCCACGAGTGTCTTCTCCTGCCTGGCCCTCGCTTACTGTTAATTTTTTCCTGGACAATCAATTGCAGTAGACAGTACTTATCGTGTCTCAATATGTGGCCTAGATATTCAAGCTTTTTTTGTTTAATTGTGCTCACGATTTCTTTCTCCTTTCCGATTCTTTGGATTAACTCTATGTTGGTGACATGTTTGGTACAGGATATACGAAGAATGCATCGGTACACCCACATTTTGAATGCTTCTAGTTTTCTCGTGAGCGTCTCTGTTAGCGTCCAGGCCTTCACGCCATATAGTAAGATCGGAAAAATTTAGCATTTAACTAGACGTAGTTTTAGGGAAAGACAAATCCCTGCTTATGAGGAGCTTTTTTATATTTTTAAATGCTGATCTAGCTCGTTTTATTCTCGCCTTAATTTCCGTGGCCTGTTCTCATTTTGTATTTTTATGTTTACTGTTATGTTATGTTTAATGTATAATTAGTATGTTACTTATCCGTAATTGTCGAGCAGGTTGTTGCTTTTTACTTATCAGCATCCACTTTGTCTTCTTGAAGTTGAGGCTCAGGCCGTATTCCTCACTAACTAAATAAACTCTTTACATTACTTGTTGTAATTCGTCTATGGTACTGGCAGCAAAAGGATCACCGAGTCGTCGGCATATCCTATATTGTTCGTTAACTCGCCGTTTATTTTTATGCCCTTATTTGCATTTTCCATACATTTGTTAAATATTTCCTCGGAATAACTATTGAATAGGAGTGGGGATGAGATATACCCCTGACGGACACCTATTTTGATCTGCACACTTCCAGTGAGTTCGTTGCCAATGTTTGCTCTTGCTGTTAGACCCCAGTATAGGTTTGCCACAATTCGAATGTCCTTGTCGTCAATACCTGTCTTTTGCAGAATATCTATCAATTGTTTATGATTGACATTTTTAAATGCTTTTCTAAAATCCACAACAAACAAATACACGTCCTTATCAACGTCTCTACACCGCTGTATTAGCACCTGGAGAGCGAAAACTGCTTCTCTAGTTCCAAGCTTTCCGAAAACTAAACTGCGATCTATCAATATTTTACTTACATTTATTATATATTCTTCTATGAATGATCTTAGTGAATGCTTTAGTGACATGGTTGATCAAGCTTATAAGCCGGTAGTTATCACAGCTCTGGGCATTTGGTTTCTCCGGGATACCCTTTTTAGTACTTCCTAATTAGTTTTTCTTGCTGTTCAAGGTATTCGTCCATAACTTTACATTTTCAGTACTTTAATTTGGTTCATACTTATAGTTTTTGTGTCCACACTAAAATATTAGTCGGTCAGATAGTTCAGCGGGCTGTGCGGCTACCTCTCATTCGCTTCACTGTCGAATGGTTTAGTGGATGTGGGTCGAGCCCCAGCTCGGTGTACAGAAAACAAAAAGTCTAGCGCAGCAGTTTAAAATTCTAGATGAATCTGCGGCTTAGACTAGGATATGCTGGGTTCTGATCGGCCTATGGTGGAGCAGTACGGCAAGAGATAAGGGCTTGCGGCTCGGTGATACTCCTCCATAGATTCCTACCGGACGGGCGTAACGCCTAAAAAACCGGATATATACACATATATATATATATATATATATATATATATTATATATATATATATATATATATATATATATATATAAAATTTATTATTAATATTACTTAAATATTATTTGTCTTAGTTCTAACCTGAGACGATTATTGCAAAATAATATCTTCAGTTTTGTATCCGACAGTTAGTTATTTCGCACTTTGTACAGTACACTTTTTCTCCTAAATGCAAGTAATATCACTCTTCGTCTTTTAAGCGCATCTTACAATTCCACACCATTTGCTTAAAAAAAAACATTGTTTTGATGATGTGTCGGTCGTCATGTTGAATTAGGTTGGACTTGATATTTACCATGATCAAGTCAAATTGGTTATTGTAGAACTAAAGATCAGTTGTTTTTAAAGTTTATTTGAAAAAATTAAAACGATTTTGCTGCGACTTACTCTAAAAATTTCTACTAGTAAAACTTTTAAACCAGGTTTTCTTTATTCTACAGTATCTAATCTATATTCCTTGTTATTAGATAAACAACTGGTTGAAAAAATTAGCGCAAGACTATCCAGATAAAGTTACTTTAATTAAAGGAGGAAGAACCTACGAAAAAAGAGATATTTTGGGTGTAAAAGTAAGTTTTGGACAACAAAAAGGACGGCGAAGTGTTTGGCTTGATTCGCTCATACATGCAAGAGAATGGTAAGTTTAAAAACAAGATCTAAAGTATACTTCACAAATTTGCGACTATATTGGATTATGACTAGATACTCGTCTACTCTACGGTACGGAATAAGAAAAACGAAATAGTTTTGTTATTTGTCTTTGTTTGCCTAGAAGTATCACTTTATTTTTGCTCAACAATAAAGACAGTTCCATGTTTAATCAGTGAGTTTTGAGAGATTAACATAGGAGTAGATATTTATTGAACTGGGCCACGAGGGCAAATTTATTCGCCTCTATAAACCAATAAGATAACCAATAATAATAATAGTCGGTCACATAGCCAAGCGGGCTGGGCGGCAGGTATCTCATTCAGTTCACTGCGAGTGGTTCTGAGGAAGTGAGTTCGATCCCCAGCTCGGTGTACAGAAAACAAAAAGGATAACGTAGCAGTTTAAAATTCTAAATGAATATGCGGCTAAGACTAGAATATGCTGGTGTCTGATCGGCCTATGGTGGAGCAGTACAGCAAGAGATAAGGGCTAGCGTCTCAATGATACTCCTCCATAGAGCCCTACCGGAAGGGCGTGTGCCGCATAAATACCGGGTATATAAAAGAACAACAAATGCAAAAATCGATACAAGTAAGGCCCGGCGCAAATTGAGCACAGCCCACGCACAGCCCACGCGCAGCACACGCGTGGGTTATTTTGTAAAACGTGGTTTTAGACGGAGCGACGCATATTAAACCCAAACCACGGCAAGACTTGGTTGGCGTGGATAGAGTTGTGCTAGCAACACAGTTTCGTGGGTCGTGGGTCTCTACCTAACCTTAGTTATTTTGTTTTGTGTGACCAATTTTTTGTTATTCAGTGAAAATGGAAAAGTTTATTGAAATTGTTCGAAGCTTTAGTGTCTTGTATGATACTAGTAATGAAGATTATATGAGAACAAAACTAAATAATTATTCAAAAAAATTCATTTTTTATTAAATCAAATGAAAAATATAACAAATCGAGAACTAAGGAAAAAAAACAAATTGTCATTTCCTAGCAAAATGTTTATGAACACCTAAGATGTAAACTTCAAAATAAAATTTGATGGTACTTTTTTGTGATGCTCATTATAATGGCTTTTATACACTGAAATTAAATTAAAAAAGAACCTGAAGAAAGTAGAAAAATAATAAAAAATTCTCAAATTTAAATTTATCTCGAAAACAAAATACGATCTGGAATTTTTGTATTTTTTAGCTCTTTTGTTGTTTATTACGTTATTTCACTTATTTCAATAATACCAGTTACAATATCTGCCTGTTATGCTAATTAGTAATTAGAAAGGCAATATCGGCAAAACCAGCTTATTCAAATTATGGGTACCTACCTGTATAGTCTTTTGTTGTAGGAATTCAATTTTTTACCCTTAGCATTTGTGAAAGTTTTCAAGATATTTATATTTTCAGATTAGAAATTGTTATTGGGATATTAGGTAAAAATTAAAAGGTCTTCAGAAAATAAAATCTTTATTTAAACTAATATACTGAAGACAGTCTATCTTTTCGTTGAATGGTATTTGCGAAAACAATCTCCTATGCACAGTCCAGGTTTTTCGTGATAATCAGCACACTCGTAAATTGTGTTTTTCCTAATTTTATGGATAGAACATATTCTACACAAATATTTGACATGGACCTGGGCTGTGTTCAATATGCGTTAGTATTGAAAAACGTGTACGTGGACTAGGCTGGACCATTCGTGGGCTGTGCTCAATTTGCGCCGGGCCTAAATTAGGGAACCCACTCATAAGGCAGCGCCTGGCAGATGAAATTAACAAAGGATTAATGAATGTTAAAGAACTGCAAAATATTGAGACGGAGAAAAAATGGTTATAATAAAGACAGAAATAGATAAAAGTCAAAAAGAAATTGTAATACCAACCAGATATAAAAAGAAGCAATGGATGACGGAAGAAATTTTAGATTTAATAGAAGAAAGATCTCAATATAAGAACAAAGATAATCAAATGTACAAAAAACTGGATGAACAAATAAAATACAGAATTAAGAAAGCGAAAGAACAATGGTTAAATGAACAATGCGCAGATATAGAAGAATACTAGAACAGACATGATAGTTTTAACACACATATAAAAATTAAAGCATTAACTCACAACAATAGAACAAGAAAACCGGGAATACTGAAAGATGCAAATGGGAAACTTGTGTTGAATACTAACGACAAATTAAAGAAATGGACAGAATACATTAGTGAACTTTTCAAATACAATAGAACAGAGTAGATGGAGATAGAAGTAGAAGAGGATAGGGTTTTAAAGATATTAAAAAAAGGAAATTAAAATGGCATTAAAAACAGCAAAAATGGTAAAACATTAGGTCCAGACCAAATCCCTATATAAATCTTAAAATCCATGAATGACAATACCTTAAGCATTACAGTAGACTTATTCAACTCAGTATACAAAACAAGACACATACCGAAACAATGGTTACTCTCCATCTTTTGTGAATAGAGAACAATATCACTAATAAGTCACATTCTTAAATTATATCTAAAAATAAGACATGGTCGTTTAAATAAAAAACTGGAAGAAGGAATAGATGATAGTCAGTTTGGGGTCATAAACGGACTAGGAACCAGAGAAGCGTTCTTTGCTTTTAATGTGTTAGTTTCAAGATGCATGCATATGAATGTTGATGTGCATGTTTGTTACGTTGATTTTTAAAAAGAATTTGACAAAGTAAGACATGAAAAATTAGTCCAAATTCTAAAGACAAAAAACATAGACCATAGGGACTTACGAATAATAACAAACCTCTACTGGAATCAAAGAGCACAAATCGTAGTAGATAACCAACCCAATCCAGAAATTGAAATCAGGAGAGGAGTTAGGCAAGGAAGTATTATGTCCCCATTACTGTTTAAAGTATAAGCAATTTTTGAAAAAGCATTACTATCTCAAAGTGAAGGACTAATAATTAACGGAAGATCTATTATCAACATAAGATACGCAGATGACACCGAAAACAATTATCTGCAACAAAGATCTTAGATTTGAACTGAAAGTAAGAGCACTGAAATGCTAGAGTGTTTTCGATACTACAATGTGGACTTGAAAGCTGGATATTGAAGCAACAACGCATAAATAAGTCACAGTCCTTTGACATGTGATGTTACAGGAGGATGCTTAGAATAAGCATGGACACAGAAGAAAACTTCTTCTTAGTCGTTAACCTGATGATATATCTTCAGGTATCGTGATATCATGAAGCTGTTAGGTAATTTTTCAGATGTTCCTCCACGTTTTTCTATCTTCTGCCAATCTAGCACATTCTGACAATGGAGCGTCAATGGTAGCAACAATATGGTCCGTGTATCGTGTAGGAGATCTACCTCTACTTCTTTTGCCTTCTACTTTTCCCTGGATGGTAAGTCCATTTCTTCGAAGCACATGTCCAAAATAGCTTATTATCTGTTCTGTTATTTGTGTTCTTAGGCTTTTCTTTATGTTTAGCTGGACCAGTATGGATTCATTTGTTCTTCGGGCCACCCATGGTATTCTCAGCATTCGTCTCCAGCAGTACATCTCAAATACATCTATGTTCTTTTTGTCTTTCTCAGTAAGGGTCCAGCATTCCGATGCATAAGTAAAAACTGGAAAAACTAGACTTCTTACTAGTCTCATTTTTGTATCGGTAGTAATTTCATGGCTTTTTTAAATTTTTGTTAATTTTGCCATAGCGCTTTTTGCGATTGCTGACCGCCGCTTTATTTCTTCAGTACAGCCTCCTTTGTTGGTTATTAATGAGCCCAGATACACAAATTTATCTACAACAGCGATATTGTTTATCCTAACCAGATGAGTCGAAAGAAAATGTAAAAAAGTATTTTTGAAGTGTGTATATTTTAGGCAATTCCTAGCTGAGCGCTTTCGGCTTTACAAAGCCATCATCAGAGCTATGCTACAATAAAATGTTCTTATAAGTACTAATTGGTAAAGATTATAATTTTAACTTACGTCAATTTTTTAAATACCACTACAAAGGAGAGATCTCATTTCCTTATATTTCAAAATTATGATTTTTGTTGAAATTCTTAAAACATATAAAAAAACATATAAAAAGCCGACACTGGACTTCACAAACACGTTAAAAAAATTGAAAAAATTTTTTGTCATGGTACGGGTGTAAGAACCCGACCATTGTTTGATCTGAGGAGGTAGGCAGAATAGAACTAATAGCTAGAATAGCTAGAAACTAATAGGCAGAATTAGTTCTATTCTGCCTACCTCCTCAGATCAAACAATGGTCGGGTTCTTACACCCGTACCATGACAAAAAATTTTTTCAATTTTTTTAACGTGTTTGTGAAGTCCAGTGTCGGCTTTTTATATGTTTTTTTATATGTTTTAAGAATTTCAACAAAAATCATAATTTTGAAATATAAGGAAATGAGATCTCTCCTTTGTAGTGGTATTTAAAAAATTGACGTAAGTTAAAATTATAATCTTTACCAATTAGTACTTATAAGAACATTTTATTGTAGCATAGCTCTGATGATGGCTTTGTAAAGCCGAAAGCGCTCAGCTAGGAATTGCCTAAAATATACACACTTCAAAAATACTTTTTTACATTTTCTTTCGACTTGTCATAAGTGTGTACAAAAAAATATCAGTCTTTTGATTGATTTCTAACCAGATGATTTTGATTGTTGTTAGCTCTGTCAATTATCATGATTCTCGTTTTATCCCTGTTTATTTTAAGGCCCATCGTTAAGCTTACGTCTTCTATCCGTTGTAGCAGGTGAATCAATTCAGTTTCAGAACTAGCGAGGATAGTAGTATCATCTGCATATCTCAACTTGCAAATCTTCTTCCCGCCAATGGTGATGCCACCGTTCCAGTCCTTAGTAGCTTTTCGCATTATCCATTCACCATAGATGTTAAATAAAATTGGGCTTAGTATGCAGCCTTGTCTCACGCCCTTTGTGACCCTGAAACTGTCAGTTAGTTCCCCATTTATTCTAACTCTGGCATAATTGTTATTGTACAGGCTTTTAATTAGCAGTATCAGATGATTAGGGACTTCCATTTTAGACAAAACCTGCCACATTTTACTCCAGTTGACCAAATCGAAAGCTTTACTATAATTTATGAAGCACAAATATGTTGTGATGTTGAATTCTCTGAATTTTTCTACAATCTGCCGTACGTTTAAAATTTGTTCTCTAGTACCACGTCCTGGGACGAAACCTGCTTGTTCCTCCGCAATGTTAGGTAGTAAAAAGGGCTTTATCCTCTCGAGAATTATGTGTAAGAGTATCTTACTGCAATGCGAAGAAAACTAACACGGAAGTATTGGGGGAAATGGGCAAAGAATGCGAATTGGTAAACACAATAAAAATTAGAAAGTTACAATATTTGGGACACGAAATGAGGAGACAGCGATATGAACTGCTAAGGCTGATAATACAGGGAAAAATAAGAGGAGGAAGGAGTATAGGAAGAAGGCGAGTATCATGGTTGAAGAATTTAAGCGACTGGTTTAAATGCAGTTCTATAGAATTCTTCAGAGCAGCCATAGACAAAGTAAAGATAGTAATGATGATATCCAAATTCTGATTGGGAGACAGCACTTACAGAAGAAAATAAACCAATAATTATCCTAGAAGCCATACAAATTTAAAAAAGGCCAAATTTAAAAGAATCAGTCTGAATCAGGCTGTAAAAAATATTAGCGCTAAACCCTGCGCCAATCCCCGCGCCAATCATCACGGTAACCCTCACGCCAACCTCCACACAAACCACGTCACCATCGACGGTATAAATTAACCACCCTCTATTCCCAGCTTCAGTCGAAAGTGGTTTAGCGTTATCGCGCGTATTTAAGCTCTGGGGCCCTTTTTTAATTTCGATGGATTCACGAATAATTTTCGATTTAAAGGAGAGGATGGAAGTGATTTTGCTTTTTCGAAATCCATTTTGTGGCCTGTCTAAGTATGATGTTGGGCTAGGGCTGAAGTAGTATCGGAATGTTTGACTGATAGAGAATGTTCGTAAATATGATTATAGATTCGTCGGTTTGTCTGTCCTATGTATGAACGTGGGCAACTGGAACAAGGTATTTCGTAGACACCATGGTCTTCACTGGGGGTTTGGTTTTTTAAGGATCTAAAGAGATTGGACAACTTAGAGTCAGTAGTGCAGATGGTTTTGATGTTTAGACGGGTAAAAGTTCTATTAGTCTTATCAGTGACATCTTTAATAAAAGGTAGAAAGATTTTGGGTTGATCTGGCGGCAAGGTTTCTTTTTTTGATGGAAAGGAATTTAGATGATTTTGAATGCTTCTATTGATTTGGGTTTTGTGGTAGCCGTTTTGTAAGAGTGTTTTCCTTATTGAATTGATTTCGGATGACCTGTGATTGTTGTCGCTAAGTCTTATAGAGCGGAAAATAAGATGTTGATAACTGAATTAAGTTGAACGGGGTAATGATGTGACTCCGCATTGAGATAACGGTTTGTATGAATGGGTTTTCGATACACGGAATAGGAAAAACTGTGAGGTATGTTTTTTTGAATGAGAACATCAAGGAATGGCAAGGCCAAATTGAATGTTGGGATGTATTCCATTCAGGTGAAAGAGGAAAGATCTAATGTGTCTTGAGGCCATGGGGCCCATGACAAAGGTGTCGTAAACGTAACGTAACCAGCAGGTGGGATTTAGATTTGATGAGGATAGGGCTACTGTTTTGAAATGTTATATGTAGATATCAGCTATTACGAGAGAGAGGGGGATCCCATTGGGACACCTTTGATCTGAAGATAGAAAATTCATTCATTTCATTCGAAAATCATCTCAGGTCCTAAATCCCTAAGTACAGCCGCTGCCAATAAAACGACGCTGTACACTGAGCTTCGATTCCTTTAGACCATACAGACCCGATATCGAGAGAAAACCATTTCCATGGCACTTTGAATCGTTGGAACTCGCGGAACATGCTGTCCATCGAATTCTCGTGTCATGAGGATTTTTAACCTTTCTAGGTTCGACGTATGCAATTTTATTACTCAGTTCTTCTCGATAAATACAATACTCACTGTAATTAACAAAATTAATGTCGAACTGAGCAATTATAAAGCATTGTTGATAAATTAAAATTACTAAATATATTATTATTCTCATGTGTATTAATTATTTTAAGGATTTCTGGTTCCACTACAACATTTATTCTAAATGAAATATTACACAGCAAAGAACCTGCCGTTAGAGCTATGGCCGAGAGTCACGATTGGTACATCTTTCCCGTTCTAAACCCAGACGGATTTGTGTATTCACACAATGGGGTATGTAATACAAAGAAAAACTAATGCGAGTTCTTAACAAGTAGTGATGGCTTTTGTTAAATTACTATGTAACTATAAATACTACGTTACCTGAATCTTTCTTTAAATCTCTGCTACAGGATGGTTAAATACTATGTGTAGTACATATTATTTTACGATATAAGGACATGGACGTTGAAACAGTGACTCCTTATAGAAGATGTCTTATCACTTTCTTTACCTTATATATGTTGGGACAGGTATATTTTAATAACCAACTTTTTTCCTTTATAGGACCGTATGTGGAGGAAAACGCGTAGTGATTATGGTACAGGCTGTATAGGTACCGATCCCAACCGTAACTGGGATTATAAATGGAATGAGTTTGGAACCTGTAACTATTCGTGTTCCTTGGTATATGCTGGACCTTATGCTTTCTCTGAAATTGAAACCAAAAGTTTATCTGAATATATGAGCAAAGTAGCAAATGAATTACTACTTTATATAACATTTCATTCATATTCACAAATTATTCTGTTACCTTACGGTCATACTCGTCAACATCTTGACAACTACGATGAAGCTGTAAGTATATTTCGCATATATATTTTACTGTGTAATTTTATGGGTAAATTCGGAGCTTGCGTTCAAAAGGGGCTATATTCATTTGGAAAAAATCTCCAGGAAACGAAAAAAAAGTTTTTATCGGTTGGCCTTAGTACTTGGGGATAAAAAGATAAGGTTTATTTGTAGTGTTTTAGGAAAGTAGTTTGATGCAATTTAATTTTTAATTTTTGAGTTAACCTTCTTTGAGAAAGATTGATTATTAATCTGGATATGTAGGTATAGTTTTGATTGCAACATTTTAAAAAGTCTCAAAAAAAACTACCGTAAGTTGGGGCTACTTGGGACAATTTTAACATTTGGAACATTACCACTGAACAACCAACAACTCTTTCAAAAAAAAAACACGTTCAAAACTTGGAAGTACACTTGTACTTTCAAATTATATGTAATATAGTTATTTTCTTTAAGTAGGCAACACACTTTTTTTAATTTAGTGTGTGTCCCAAGTTACACCCCTAAGTGGGGTAACATGGGCCAACACTCTAAAATCCGTGTAAAAACTTAGTTAAAATAAGATGTGGTTCAAGTAACCCACAAAAAAGGTAAAAAAGAACATTTATAATAAGTAAGGTAAGAAAACACATCTAAGTTGAAAATAGATTTTTTTTAATCTACATAATAAAGAAAATGGTATCCTATGTAGGTAAGAAATGAGATAGATCTCTGTATGATTATAATAAAACTATTACTAATTAAGCTGAAAGTTCGTAAGGAAATGTGTATCTTCCTCTCCTTACATTTGTTGGTGTCACCATCATTATAATTGATTCTAAATTAATGTCCATTTCATCATCAACATTGGGAAAAATGTACACGTTCCCGACTGATTTTGAACTCTTTCTTAGGGAACTTTACATTTATTTTATCGTAAAATTTTTCCTGCACTTGTCCATAAAATTGCTTAGCAGTCTTTTTATTTGATCTAGCATCAAATACCAAATTAACAATGACAAACATGTCCTTTTCAATTTTATCAATTGTTATGGGATGTATAGACTTCGGTACCCGAAGTGGAGTTGATGTTACACATTCTTGCACATTACTTACTGGTATTACATCAAAATCATCTTCATTTGTTATATCACTGAGAATAAGGTCAGTGTCTGAGTCTCTTAATGAATAATTTGAATCATCTTCATCGGTTGAGTCACAATTGTCCCTTAAGTGTCGGTTTTTGATGGATTTAGAAGTCGTAGCAGTAGCAAGTTGGCCAGTTCCATCACTTCTCCTTCAATACACTCTACACCTCTTCCAGCAGGAACATTAATTTTCTTTTTCCTTATTTTTCTTGAAGGCTGGGTTTCCTTTCTCCTACTTTCTTTCAAATAGGTCTGAAATGTCTGAACCCACTCCAGACTGTTAGTCTGTGAATCATTATCAGACTGAAGGATTTTCATTGCAGAAGGAAGTCTCTTGATCACTTGATTCCTATCGAGAGGAAAAATTCCTGCTCCTCTAAAACCACTCATAATATTTTTGGAAATATTTTCAACACCAATATTGTCAAGGCATTTCTTTAGTAACCGGGGAAACTTATCCTTTGGAATGGTACCTCGGGTTTCGCTCTTCCACTCATCAAGAGTTTCACGCCACTTCATCTTCAAAGGCCGAAAAAAGGCCACATCGAGAGGTTGTGTTAACCCAGTACTATTAGCAGGGAGAAGAACAAATTTTATGTTCCTTTCTTTGCATTCTTCAATAATCCAAGGTGATATATGACTTGACAGGTTATCGCCAATCATTACTTTAATCAAATCATTGCGGAATTTCCTAAAATAAGGGAGAGCGACAGTGCGAAACCAGTCTTCAAATATTTCTAGATTAAACCAGCCACTTTTGGATCGGTTATAAATTGTACCCTTAGGACCATTCTCCGTCCAAGTGTTGTATAGATTTTCAGACTTGTAAACTATATAAAGTGGTAACATCGTTCCATCAGCAGTACCACTGAACATTACAGATGTGCTTGACTTACTGGTGTCAATAATTCTCTCAGGGTGTCTGCACCTCGTCTAACTACAACCTTTTTCCTTCCTGGATCATCTGTGATGTTCGTCTCATCATAGTTTAGAATCAGGTTTGCATCAACACCATCCAGAGTTACCTGGAGTTCATCAAAGTAATCATTTATAATATTTTCATCAACCATTGCCCTCGATCGCTTAACATTTTGGCAAAATTTATTTGTAAGAATTTGCTTATGTCTTTGCAAAAATGAAATTACAAATTCTTTACCAGGAAGGTTATTTTTGAATAGTTTTACTGTCCTACCTGAACGATCAAGAAAACACTTAACGATGATTCTAATATCATGAATTGTTAAGGGAAAACCCCAGTCACCAGCCATGCACAAACATTTTGCTAATTTAATTTGATCTTCCTCTGAGAGTACAAATGGTTTTCCAACCTTTCCTCTGTTTTGGCCACGAACCGCTCTGTTAATTGTTGATTTTGATATACCAAATTTTTCAGATGCTTTTCGCATCGACAACCCATTATTTACTACTTCTGATACAGCTTCATCTAATTGGATTTGTGTGTAATCCTGGTATTTACGTGCACCAACTTTTCTTATGTACTTGCGCACCATATCTGGGACTGAAAAAAAAAAGATAAAGAAAAATAACTGATATTTACTTTATAATATTATGTGTGGGGATACATGGGACAGTTGTCCCAAGTTACCCCAATAATGTATTACTTTTATGTTTATTTTATTTAACAGAAATAAGTAGGCAACACTTATGTCACTAGGACATATGGTCTAAAGAACTTAAGTAAGGTTATGACTAACGCACAAATAACATAATTGCCCAAATATAACCAAGTATAGAGATAAAGTTATTTCATAGATGAATTTAGGTTGTGTTAATGCTTCATATTATATTAAATATTGTAAACTTACCTTCGCTACTAACGACCAGCAAATATAGTTAATGAAATCACCAGTTTATTTATGTCACATTCACGTGTTTAGAAGATGCAATACTGGCAACAGAGGTGCCACACTAATAACAAAAATATGTTATGCAATTTGTCCCAAGATAGACATATGTCCAAAGTAGCCCCAACTTACGGTAATTAAAATGTCAGAAAATACATTTTTATTATAAAATTGGAACACAAAAGTCGAAAGGAACCAAGAGAAACAAAAAATATTTATATGTAAAAAGCAGGTTCTTCATCCAAACAGTCACATTCCTCGCGCTCATCTACTTCTTTGTCAGTAGATTCCGTGTGTGCTTTAGCGGAAACAAGTACATTCTTATTTTAGATCTGCTCGCAACATCAAATTCTCACCAAACAGCTCTTTCAGAAGCTTCGTAAACTGGGTTTCTTCTTATCTGGTAACGAGTTTCTGGGCTCTATAATGTTTAGAACTAGATTCCCATCGTCTTTTCCTTTTTTTAGCATCATCTTACGCGATTTATTTCCAGGTGCAAACCGATAATGTAGGTGTGTATTTGCTTCAATCTTTTGTTGGTTTTAAATGTCTTTTCTGGTAAAAATTATTTTTTTTTCAGCAATGCCCTTTACCTTATGGTAAACTTTATATAATTCCTTTATATTAAAAGGTTTGAAGTCGTTCCTAAGAGTTTTACATGACCACATTCTGAATAAAATTTGACGTACTCCTCTTTAGAAATGATATCGGTATTTTGCCTAAGCAACTTCTCGACTCTCCTAAAACAACGATCAGCAGGCATAAAAATATGTCCGCGGACTGAAAAAGTGATAGAGATTTCGGACACATATCTTGGAGATTATTTTTAAGCCAAAACATAAGTGCATGAAGTAGAACAAACATAATAATAAGATAATACAAACATTAGTGTTTGTATTTTGAGATCGATTAACGAAGTGGAAATTGAAACGTCAATAAACGTACTTTTACCTTTAATTGTGATTAATTTCCATTTAAATGGTAATTAATTTAAAGTGCCACAAGAGAATAGCTTCAGAACAATACTCATAAAACTTGCCTTCAAGCAGGAAATAACATCATCTATATAATAAGTTTTATTTGCTGTGGCAGGTTTATTGTGTTCGGCAAATACAATTTTGATAATAGTAGTTGGCACATATCCCTTAATATTGCATTACGAATATAATCGTTTCCAAGCCACTTTTTATTAGATTAGTACATTGCGAAAGAAGGAACCCTATCATAATGCATAACTAACGTAACACCAGTAAGTAGCATCATTTCTTTTTGGCACGATTTGACAAAAGTTTTCTACTTTTTCACTTCTAAAATTTTAAGCCTACGGTTAGTACACTGGGCCATATACATAAACAAACTTTTAGGAAATACTTTTAGAAAACAGTCTAATGCAAAACTGCCGCGATCCAATTGATCTGTAATAACTGGAGCTGTTCTGGCTGGCTGATCTCGAAATAAAATTTTCTGCATTGACATAGGTACAAACAGCGAAAAATCCTGTGCTAGTTGGTAGCAAATATTTCATAATCTCGTCTGTATCTTGGATATCTTTATCATCGCCAGAGGATTTCTGATCTGAAGTTTGAGCTGCGTTATCAGTTTCATTACCTATATTTACTTTACTTTAAAGTAAACTTGCCTCACTTATCTTGATCTTTTATAATTAACAATCAGCAACCAAAATTGTACTTACGCCAACAGAAATATGTTATCAACACAGTTTTATATAATAGTACCCACAACGTGTTCATATTACACTAAATTTTAGGTTAAAATTTGATGCTGAAGTTGGATACTCGATTTCACGTTATGAGAAATGTCATAATCTACTGAAATGTCCCGTCTGAACACAGTTTCAAACCAGTTTAAAACATTCAGAATTTTTCAAACATGTGTTGAGATAGATATATCCCAACAGGAGTAAAATGGTTGAAACACACACCCGGAAAACCGAAATATCGGCCAAAAAACGAACCCCCAAGAATACAGCTATATAGGTATGGCTACGCTAGCTTTACCATAAACTTAGTTTATGGTATAGCAATTGATTATTTCTTTGCGTAAAGCTTCGACAATAAATAAGGAATTAATTCCATGCAGTTCGCTTTTTGGCTTATATCTCGGTTTCCCCGGGATGTGTTTTGAGCTAGGAAATTATGAAGTAGCTTTTGGGGATTGTTTAGTATACCAAATAACAGTAATTAATTTGCAATAAAATATGCCTCTAGGATGGGCGCTGTACTTCTTTTTTTGGCAAGATAAAGCTATGCTATGCTAGCTTTACCGTATAGTTAGCATATCCACTGTTTCTCAGAAACAGCTACATCAATAAATGTTTTCTTTTCGTTATAAATTAGCAATAAATTGGCAATAAATTATAGTATTGGTCTGAATTCTGCCGTATAAAATGGATATGCTAACTCAAGAGACATACAGATTTGTTTTGTTGCACTAACATAAAAAACTTATACAGAAGTTCAAAATTTATACAGAAGTAAAAAACTTCAAAATTTGTATATTGGTATACAAACATTTAATTTATAACTTGTTAAAAGTGTCGTCCAAAATATATAGATACATTACGTTTTTGATTTAGCTCAGATCATCCTCAGTGCCTTCTTTTGGTACTTGTAGCTACTTAAATTGCAGCAGAGACATCAATATATCGCACCTTGAAAACCATAGGGCAGTAAGTGCAAAAATCATCATGTTGAGTTATGGGCGTTTCAATTTTTTTTAAAGTTAATATTATTTACTGTAATTCCAAAAATTAAGCTACAAACCTGGTATTTACCATAATTGTCTTTAATTTTGAATATTTTTGTATGCAGTAAGAAGTATGTGGAATTTCCTTCAGGAAATAGGTATTTTAGCACATACGGCCATATGGTTTTAAAAAATATATTAATTTTGAAAAATGATGAGGTAAAATTCATATCGAATAAAAGTTTTTTAATTTAGGATTGTACCTATTAATTAAAATTTTTTGGTTTTAACACTTAATCAAAGTCATGCATATTGTAATCTGTTTGTTCGGTTTCTACTGTTCCATTGTTTACATGTAAAACTGCATAAAACCTATGGTAGGGCTCTTGAATAACATTAGCCGTACATAGTGAGAGCAGATCTTGTTTTTTTAGAGTGGATATTCCTGGTGGATGTGATATGCTTTACTTAGTTCCGTATTAGCCACCAACCCTCGTTGTCTTCGCCTAATAGTACTAGTTCTGAGCTCTGTATCGTGGTAGCTTGTCTTAACCTGAAACTTATTTTCAAGTGTCTTCTTTACCTTGATCATCTTAATCTCATTCCAGACGACCTGATTTCCTTCTTCGTCAATGTTATAATTGTTTCCCATTTCCTTACATAATTTTTTAAAGTAAAATATATCAGATGTAGATATTTCATTAATTTTGTAAGGTTCACCTGATTTTTTCGCAGTTTGAACTACTGTGACCCATTGCGAAAGGCATATAAATTGTTCTTCTTTTTAACGCCCTTTTTTTTCTTAATAAAAGAATTCATGTTTCTCCCTCATTTTGGGAGTGACCCGTTATCAAAAATTTGTGGGTAATGTTAGGTATGTTCAATTTCTGTATTGCATAGATATTTCATTAATTTTGTAAGGTTCACCTGATTTTTTCGCAGTTTGAACTACTGTGACCCATTGCGAAAGGCATATAAATTGTTCTTCTTTTTAACGCCCTTTTTTTTCTTAATCAAAGAATTCATGTTTCTCCCTCATTTTGGGAGTGACCCGTTATCAAAAATTTGTGGGTAATGTTAGTATGTTCATTTCTGTATGCATAGAATAAAGACGACAATAACTTTCTTATTTGCGCACTGCAGTTATCCGAATATAATATTATTTCCTGTTCTCTGGCATGGTTCCTCAGAAAAAATAACAGGCACGACGCTATTTGCACGACCACGATTAACAATTCCTTCGAAACAAAGGCAGCAGTGTCCTGCATTTGTGGTCATGTCAAAAATTTTAAAATTAAATGTTGATAATCTCCTTTTATAATAAAATAAGGGGACATCGCCTGAAGGTGTCGGACGGCTTGTAAGTCAAAACAAGCAGTAATGCAAGTGTTGGATTTTGCAGGTTTTGATTCATTTTCTTTCTCTTTTCTACTAAGTTCCACTTCTTGACGGTGAGTATTATAGGCTGCTTCCAATGTAGATTTATCTAATAAATTTTTGTAACTTTCACATAGCGAGCAGAAGTTTTTTTGGACTTAAAGAAGCTTATATCAAATTCCGTGTTAAACATGGTCCCAAACGTAGTGTAATTTCCGAACATCGTACCTTTTTCTTCGCAAAATTTTATGTAATTTTATTTAATATTATATAAAAATTGTTTCAAATAGATAATGTGAGCACTTCGGTCCCGTTCTTTATTTTATTCAATAAAATTTGAATTATGGTTGTTTGGAATAATTCCTTCTGCATAGTAATGATTGTTATTGTTATATATAATATTGATATTTACGTTAAGGGCTTTAACTTTTGAATTGAAAATATTGCGAAAATATAACATTATGTTAGTCCATAGAAATTTATTTTTTTTTAATCTAGTGAAATTCTAGTGATTTTTTTCAGTCAAATGTAGACACTTTTATAAATGTGACCTGGCAACATTATGGTACTTTTAAGTACAGTCTGTCGACAAAGGGTTAATCCAACATCATTTATTACACGAAAAATATCCTACAAAATTGTAGAAAATTCAATCTTCTATTGTTCATGGTTCTTGAATTGCTTCTTACTACGTTTAACTAAATTAAACACGATTGTTTACTCACAATATGAAAACAACAGATAAAAGTAGTTACAGGCAATGTAGCATTTATTTGGCATTAACTGCTAATATTGCCAGATAGATCTGAGTTTTTGTTCCTATTTTAGAACCATAGAGCAACAACTGCAGATAATGCCTGATGGTATATAAAAAAGAATCGATTTTTTAGAAAAGCCATAAGGACGTATCTTTCTGGTGCCGAATTTAAAATTCGTTGTAGATGCTGCTATATAGCATTAAAAAATAGATTTGTTTTTCTATTAGACTGCATTCAAAGGTCATTTCACGAAAAAAATTGCAGATATTGCCATATGGTTTTCAAGGTGCGATATGGCTTTACATATTTCAATGTCCAACAGACAATTTTAAGTACTTGGGAGTCCAAATAACATCAAAAGCAGGAAGTGGCGAAGACATACATTCCAGAATTGGCCAAGCAAGATCAGGCACCAGACAGCTACACGGACTATTATGGAATAAAAAAATAACAAAAGAAAATAAAAAGAATTTATAAAACAATAATAGAAAGTATTGGACTGTACGGCACCGAACTCTGGGAAATAAACCAAAGAAACAAATCAAAAATTAAGGCCATGGAAATGAACTACTGGAGACGATGTTGCCAGCTCACTAGACTTGATAGGGTGAGAAACGAAGATATTCGGAGACAAATGGAAATCGATCTAGACATAATAGACACAATCGAAGTCAAAAGACTTAACTGGTATGGACACCTTCAGAGAATGCCGGAAAATAAAAAAAAATGGCTCAAAAAAAATAGAAGAATGGACTCCGCCAACTAGAAGAAAACGAGGTAGACCAAGACGATCCTGTAGAGACGATGTCGACGATGCAATGACCGCCAGAGATCTAACAACTGAAGATTGCTTCGACAGAAAACGCTGGAAATTAGGATGCATGCGAAAAGCGGCGCCAGCCGTAGAAGACTAGCTTGTTATATATATATATATATATATATATATATATATATATATATATATATATATATATATTATATATATATATATATATATATATATTTATTTATTTATTTTATATATATATTTAAATGTAAATTCTAATGCGACCCTAGGTCTATGACAATGATTGAAGATGTCAATACTTAAAGATCAACATGTTTTTTTGCTCTACTTGAATACGTGGTTCTTGTCAGTTAAAACCACACAGACCAACTGGCTGAGGTGTCAGGAAGTAAAATTCAGGAAGACAGGAATATTACAATATAATAATAGCTAGAATTCTATATCCTGTTATCAAATCATCACATAAATTTTTCTTAATAGGCATATTCATTTTACAAATTAATTTTCTAAACTTACAAATGTTTACACACCAGGTTCTCTTACCGTCATTAGGCAACCACCATTACCCAATAAATTTTTACCTTCAATTTTATTGGATCTTAGCTTAATCTTTTATTATATATTACTTTTTATATCATTTCTTACACCATTTATGTGTACAGTATTTAACTGACAAGAACCACGTGTTTAAGCTGGGCAAAGAAACATATTGCTCTTTAAGTAAAGCATTAACATCTTTAACCCTTAGATTAAAGAAACCATTAACCATTGTCATCCACCTAGAGTCGCATTATAATTTAAATTTATGTAAAACCATATATTAATGTCTCCACTGGAATTTTAGTGTTAGTTACAAGTACACAAAAGAAGGTACTGAGGATGATCTGAGCTAGATCGAAAACGTATGTATCTATAAATTTTGGACGACACTTTTAACAAGTTTTAAGTTTTTATACCAATATACAAATTTTAAAGTATTTTACGTGTATAAGTTTTTAAGTATGGTATACAACCAACTACTGGGATTTTCCCATTAATTTTTTAAAAAACAAAATTAAAAAAAAACTGAAGATACCTTTTACTTTTTATTTTAGTACAAACTAGCAAATAGAGCTGCCAAATCGTTAGCTGAGAGGTACGGAACTCAATATAGTGTTGGAAATATAGCAGAGCAACTAGGTAAGTTAAATGATTAGTAATACTAGTACATCTTTGATTTCGCACAGACTGAAAAAAAGTTAGGTCAATAAATTATTTTTTTTCTGTATACTGGTTGCAACTTTCTGTAGAAGCACTTTAAATGCTTTTTTGCACATTCTTAAATGATTTTTATATGCTTCCAAGATATAACGAGCCAATTCAAGAAACCATTTAACCGAAAGCACTCATATTTTCACACATTCGTTAGATAGATGTGCTGTCCACAAGCTTCTGAGCATGCGACAGTAACACCACAACCCGACGATAACGACACAACCCGAGGAAGGCAACTGGTGTAACAAAAGATTTCAATCGAACTGAAATGTCAATTCCTTAATACAGTCACAAAACTATCTGTCATGTGCGCAACTAAATGTTGGACAGCTAAAAAGAAATAAAAACAAAATGCTTAAATGGAAATGTATGTGATTTACTACCGAAATACTAGCGAAGACTAGTAAAGAGAATAAATCGTTTTCTTTCAAAATCAACCCTGATGATGAATTTAATTAATACTAAAGGAAAAAATTTATCCAAAGAAGCTTTGTATATTGTGTCAACTTTGTGCCAAAAACAAATGTAATATTTTGATAACCCATAAACCACAGAATAATAAACAGTCAGAATTCCCAATCTCAGATGCCGCCTTTGAAGTTTTTCAGCATGCGCGCCATGTTTTAGAAGAAAACACATAACACAGACATATAATTTTTGAGGTTCTGTAATTGTTTATATTTATATTTAATTATATTATATTTATGTTATTATATTTAACAATGTTAATATAATTGTATAGTATGTCTATGATTGCTGTAAGTCAATTAAACCGGGTTAATTTTTCTATGCACACCACATAAACAACACTGGTTCCCTCTAAAACATGGTGGAACATCTGCGCGAAGGAGATGCGCGTACTTAATTTTCCATGGAGAGAGGGCATTCTGATTGTTTATTATTCTGTGCAGAAACCTTGCATAACAAGCTTAAGACGTAAACCATGGATAAAATATATGAAACTACTTTAAAAAAATATTTCATGTCAAACCATACTGAAAATGAAATCTTTTTTTATGGAAAGTATAGGTCAGTTCGACTTTTTAAGTTAATAAAAATGACATTGAAATTTTGATCATTAATATGAAATAGTGTAAAAACATTCAGTTACTTCAGTGTATAAACATTCAAATACAAACTTTACTTTTCAAGAATCAGTATATTTAAAAAACCAAAAATACTGTTGTTCAAAACCGGTCTTGGTCTTACAGTCATGGTCTTTTTTACGCGTTTTTAGGAGGACCAAGACCAAGAAACACCTAATTTTAACAAGACCAAGACTGACCGTACAAGATTTGAGCAAGAACAAGACGAAGCCAGCGAAACTCTTGCAGCTTGCCAAAGCATGCACTATGAGGAAAGCAAATTAAAACAGAAAGCCTGCGCAAATTTATTAAATCGTATAAAGGATATAAAACTTTACAGTTAGTAAATAAATGTCTAAAATCACCAAGAAATAAAAAAGTATGTGAATATGATGAAGAGGAAGACGTAATAGACTTTAAGAAACTGTATGCATATCCCTCGACTTCATCTGGATCTTCTCGTCAAGGTTTAATTATTGACTAATTGTGACTACCTGAGTAAACCCAGAGCCGCCAGCTCGGAAGACATTTTAGAGTGGACGAGGATGCATGAGACAGAATATCCGACTTAATCGAATTTGAGCCGTGATTTTCTTTTAATAAGTGCAACTTTAATACCTGCTAAGTAATTGGAAAGCATAGAAAAAGGTTAAGTGATGAGTCAGCCATATGGTTACTTTGTAATAATTCTGGGTAAAAGAAATTAATTGAAATTAACAGTAGTATCGAAGGCTATTGTGTACTGGTCTGTAATTTAATTTGTATTGTATTTTTATTTATATAAACAGCATTTTCAGTAAACTTAAGCATTCAACCTTATATCATTTTATTAATTTGGTTGATCTTTACTATAGATATGTTAATTCAAGGTTAAAATGTATCTAGTCTGTTACGTTATTCTAAGATCTAAAGTAACGTTTAATAAATAGCAATAGGCTAATGGGCAACTGAGGGACTTGCAAGACTCTTGCTGTAAAACCAAGATTAAGACCAAGACTAGGTGTATTGGCGCAAGACCAAGACCAAGACAGTCTAACCCTTGTTCTTGCATTTGGGCAACACTAACCAATAATATATGTTCATGGTGGGAAAGCGTAAGTGTCACAGCACTACATGGAAATTGACCAAAACGAGAAAAAGTTAAAAACCACGAAGATCTTAAGCTTATTCATACTTTAAAGTAAATATTACCCTTCACTAGTACGATATGTAAGAGTCACTATATTTCGAACAACAATTGTTAGCGAATGGTCAGTTAAACACATTTTGCCATTTTAATTTACACAAGTTAAAATCTTAAACAAAATATTTTGTTTTGTTTCCTTATAATACAGAAAATTCGTATATTATAAAGTCTAAAGTAGAGTTTTTTTATTACTTATTTCGTATTTTGAAAACGATTTTCATAGTAAAAATAAAAATGACCAAAATCAAAATAAAATCGATGAAAACGTTTACGTGTCAGATAGACAACACAAAAGTCTTTTACGAAAATAGTTTTAGAACCATTTTATTTCTTGTCTATTTCTTATTTACCATTTGTTTTTAGGTCTTGCAACAGGAACAAGCATTGACTGGTATAAGAAGAATTATCAGATTCCTTTTGCATACGTATATGAACTTCGTAATAAAGATACTTTTGAACTACCAGCAGACCAAATTCTACCCAATTGTTTGGAAGTACTGGATTCTCTTGTTACTTTATTGAAAGGAGCTGATACATTGTACAAAAATTAATGAGATTTTTAGGCGATAATAAAAATCAATTGAAATAAAGGAAAAAAATAGTATCTTTTATTTTAAAATTTACATTAATTTCATAACTATTTCAACACGGTGTTTTCCAAAACTTACCATATAGAAACAAAGATTATAACTGAATACAAAATTTTTATAGACGTTAGCTGCTTGCAGCTGAAATTTTTGAACAAGGAAAATCTCAGTAATCAATATTACAAGCATTATTACAGTGTAATATAACACTTCGATGCACGACCGCTTTTAGAATTAAATGAGTACACGACGGTAGTCTGTCAGGACCAAAAGTTGTGTAATTTTTTTTAACCTTTGGTACATAACTATATGTCTTAAAAACCTGTTCATTCTGATTTTTTTGTATAGATATAAGACGTCAAAACAAAAATACCAATTTTTGGTAATCGTTTTATTGCTAATTTACAATACTATAAAAAAATTTTTTTTGATATTTTGGTACATATCCGTGGTCCAGCTTGTTATAAACTTGTGTCTTATTCTGATTAGAGGATCAATTTGCCCAAAAACTGGAAAAATAGAATTAAAAAATTCTACAGCTTGTCAGTAAATACAGACATCCAAGTGGGCTTTTCTCTCACAAACCATTAGATGCAGGAAAATTTTAAGTAAAGCAGGAGAACGAGCGGACAATTTTATGTAAGAAATGGCTACTCGCTCGACTCTCGGACTAAAATTAACGCCAATATAGCAGAATAACGAAATTTTATAAAAATCCAATGGTCCCGACTTGAAGATTTTTGCCACATTTTAATTAAAAAATTTTTTTTTTGATATTTTGGTACATGCACTTAATCCCGTGTATTACAAATATGTGTCTTATTTTAATCCTCTAACCCCAATTTGCCGGAAAAGGGGAAAATCGAATTAAAAAATTCTACAGTTTTTCAGAATATACCGACATTCAAGTGGAAATTTTTCTCACGAACCATTAGATGTAGGAAAATTCTGAGCACGGCAGAAGAACGACCGGCCAATTTTATGTAAGAAATATCCACTCACTTGACTTTGGGACTAAAATTGACGCCAATATAGCCGATTAACGAAATTTGATAAAAATCCAAGGGTCCCCCTTGGAAGATTTTTGCCACATTTTCAATTCAAACAAAATTTTTCAGCATATACACACATTCAAGTGGAAATTTTTCTCACGAACCGTTATATATTGGAAAATTCTGAGTATGGCAGAAGAACGAGCGGCCAATTTTATGTAAGCAATGTCCACTTGCTTCATTTATGTTTTTCTATGCTAGACAAGGAACTTATGTTTTTCTCTGTAATTATTTGGGTTTTTGTTTCTATATTTTCTTCTCTGTTCCATGATTTTTAGTATTTCTTAAGTCAGACTTTCCGTTTTCTTTTGTAGAGTTTCTTTCTGCGTTTTTATAACATAATCTTTCATTTTGCTATACATAATGTTCACATTTTCAGTGTTTTTCATTTCTGATGTTAATTTCTTTATTTCTTGATCGATACGAGTTGTAGTCTCGGCACGGATTTCATTTATTGTAAGTAAATGAGTATTCACCTTAGAACTTTTGGATTTTATTATATTTTTTAACATTCAGTTTTATTTTTGAGCCAAGGAGGTTATGGTCTGACGGGACATCTGCACTAGGAAAAGTCTTAACGCTTACAATGAAATTTCTAAATCTTAGATTGTTTAGAATATATGGGTAATTAGAGGTACCAACTGAAGATTAACCAATAAGAAAATTTTAAAAAGATCACGTACATAGCATATCTTGTTAAGGCTTTGCCTGGAAACATTGATACTGGGCGGTCGAAGGTTATTCTCGACAATCACGTTTTTTATTTCATCACATCAAAAATATTTTTAAATAATTCTATTCTGTATAGTGACCTACTGTTAAATAAATTACAGATATTTTAATTGATTACTACTAAATAATTTGTCGTGCGTCTTATCTTTTACTTACTGTTTATTTGTTTATTTTAGGTATAGTAACAGGAACAAATTTAGACTGGTATAAGAAAAATTATCAGATTCCTTTTGCGTATATATATGAACTTCGTGATAAAGAAAAATATGGAAACATTCTACCACAAGAACAAATTTTACCCAATTGCTTGGAAGTACTGAACTCTCTTGTTACTTTATTGAATGAAGCTGATTCACTGTACACAAATTAGTGCTGTCTTAAGTTGGTGTTACTATATTTTATTAGATATTAAAAGATTTGATATTACACAATTAAATATTTTCCAAATAAATTTCCCCTGTTACTTTCCTAAAGATGAAGCTATCCGCAATATATATTTTAGCGCCTATTCGATTTAAATCGGTAAGAAGCAATCGCAATAAAAATAAATCCCACATCTCCACCTTTCCAAAAATATATTTTTGCACACTCTTGCGGAAATTGAGTTATTAGATAATAAATATAATACACAATTATTTTTAAAAATGATAAGAAAACAGTAAAATATTATATTAGAAATATTATATGTTTAAAATATAATATAGCTATAAAATTGTAAAAAGCGATTTTTAACTAACTATAAAATATAACGATGGCCTAGAATGAAAAAGTCATAAGTCGATATTTTTCGATATTGAGATTTTTATACCGATATATTGTGTGTAACAGGCCTCACACATTACAATTGAGGAGAGGGAGAGAAGAGAGAGAGAGAGAGAGAGAGAGAGAGAAAAATAATCTCCTGCTGCCACCTGGCGAAAAATGAAAATGTTGCGAGTCTTGAATTGTAAATTCACCAGTGAAGTTATCGTATCTCGAGTGAAACGTGCCGATAAATAATATTTTGATTTGTGCAAAGAACTCAATTTATTTGGAAAATGGGTAAGTTTATTACATTTTTGTACTCTTTATTTCCTATTTGCTATTGTCTTTCCTTAATTATTTGGCTTAATATTTAGTGTTTATTGCGTTTAAAAAAGGAATAAAATGATTAAAATTTCAATGAAAACGTTCTAAGTCGATAGAATGCTTATTATACTTCAATGAAAATGTCATATGTCTTGATTTACGACTTTTTCACTGGAGTTTTTAGATCGTGCCTTATTTGTTTACTCCCAAGTCCCAGTTGCTTAGGTCAGACTTACGCGGTTTTCATTCTAAAATGGACACATATGGCAACAGAATTTTTCTTTAGAATCAATGGTGATATTTTTAGACATTATCATACTCACATCTCACCAGCACAAAGACGCTTGCTTTATTTATTTGAATTTATTTTGTTACAGATCGTATACTATCACAAACCAATCAATCTCGAGGAGCTAGAATGGTAAAATCCGTTCTGCAACCAAAGTCTCATTGCAAGAATATCGAGACAGAATCTCCTGTGGATCAAAAGCTACATACAGAACCGATCCAATGTAGTGTAAATATCAAGCAAGATATTATCAATGCAGACGAAAACCTACACGAAACTACTTCAAATCTACCAGTTTCACCTCTAGAGCTAAGTGTATCTAATGATACGAGTATAATATTTACAGTGAATAGTTTTCCTGTAGTTGAAAGTTCTCTAAATTTCTTAGTCCAAGAAGATGGTTCTTTGCAATTGGAAATGAATACCCCTGGACTTGTTGGTGACAAAAGTTGTACTTCAGATTCAAGTAAACCAATTTTGGAAAACATCAATACAGATTTAAATGAAAGAACCAACACTGATGCAAATCTTGCAACTATACATCATGATCCGACCAATGCTAGTAGTTCGATTGTAATTTCTGCAGAAAATGATGACGTAAATGATGCTTCCAATTCAAGTGAACAAATCTTGGAAAACATTGGTACAGATGAGCCTATCAATTTTGATAGTTCCATGGAAATTTCTTCAGAAAATATAAGAAAACGAGCACGAAAAGGTAAACCGAGAAAGGGAGAGTGGATCCAAAAGTCAAACAAAGATAAGAGAATAAGAGGACAAAATTACTTGGGAAGAGAAGGAAATTCGTTTACTATTGGGCGAGAAGTAAGAAAATTAAAAGTACATTGTGGTTGCAAAAAAGGTAAACTTGGAAAGAAACTCAAATGTGCTTTGTTTGATGAATCCAAAAGACAAAAAATATTTTCTCAGTTTTGGGATATGAATTGGGATGAAAAAAAAATGTTTGTTGCTCAATCTGTCAATATTGTTAGCGTCAAGGAAAAAAAATATAAAAACAAGAAAATACTACCTAAAACTTAGTACAGCTGAAGAAAAGTACAAAGTTTGTAAGAAACTTTTTTTAAATACATTGGCAATTGGAGAGAGATGTGTATTTGACTGGGTAGGAAAGTACAAAAACTCTTTGAATAGTACAAGGGAGTCCGAAATTGAAGAGGAAGAAGCTTCTGCTTTGAATTCTTCACAAGCCAATGAAGAAAAAAATGTGCAGGCTCAACCTAAAGCTGGCTCAAATAAAGCTGAGGATTCTAGAAAGTGTATTAATAATTGTTTGGATGCTCTTCCCAAAGTAGAGTCGCATTATTGTCAAAAATCAACAAAAAAGTCATATTTGGAACCAATGTGGTCTTCAAAGGCAGCTCTTTATCGTGAATATATAACATACTGCAATGCAATGAATCAAAAACCGGCTTCATCTTTCACTTTTGATGATGTTTTTGAGAGCAAAAATGTATCATTGTTTAGTCCTCGAAAAGATCAATGTGATATTTGCACCGCTTACAAATTAGAAAATGAAAGTGAAGAAAATTATATGATACACCAAAATAACAAGACACTAGCAAGGAATGAAAAAAATGCAGATAAATTCTCTGACAACAGTAAAATTGTATTAACAATGGACTTACAGTTACAGTACTTAGCAGTACTTTTATGTCCCGTATTAAAGGCATCAGCACTCTATTACAGAACCAAGCTAAAAATCCACAATTTTACAATATTCGATATAAAATCGTCTGAAGGATATTGTTTTTTGTGGGATGAAAGTGAAGGAGGAGTAAATGCTGACGAATTCTGTTCTATAT